CCTCCCTGTGCACGGCTAACTGGCTAGCGTGAGGCGTTCAGGGACCGCCTGAGAGATTAAACAGCCAACGTGATGGTTTTTTTTGCAGCTACAGCAGAGAATAAATGCGCTGAATTCAAACTTTGAAGAGTTTCAGCAGCAGACGGCGACAAACTGAAGAAGTGAGGACTCAGAAATGATCAGAAAGTTTAACCAAAGACGCCTCAGATCATCCTGATCAGGAACAAAACCTTTACCTGCATTTTTATTCTTGTCTACTGTCAGTTACATGATGCGTTAAGAAATTATTAATATGAGGAAAAACTAAATCCAATAACTTAATTCACCACAAACCCATTTACACACAACAGGTGAGCAAACTGCAGCTATAAATTTATGGACTTTACTTGATTCAGCAGCAAAATAAATGTAAGAATCCGTCACTGCTGCAGCCTCTGAGCTCAGAAAACACCCGTCTTATATTCTTTCTCTCAGACGTTGGCTCTCGTGCACCAGGTGCCTCCTTTCTGACCAAACATTTACATAACAGACACAGAAAAAACAAAACCATCATTTCACCAAAACAGAAGAAGTTGGCAGATTTACATTTCTGCTTTTCTGCTCCGGGTGCTCGTCGCTGCGCCTCCACCTGCCGTCGCTTCCACCAGCCGTCATTCAGACCTGTAACGTACGAGCGGCTCTCCGAGGCAGATGGAGGTTCTCCGGCCGGAGCGTCCCGCTGGGCTCGAGTGTGTCGCCCAGTCGGAGGGTTGGATCTAAAAAAAAAAAAAAACAGCAGCTGCACCTGAAGCAACTTTAGCTTCAGTGTTTGCTTTGTGGTGGTGAAATGATTTGTAAAGATGGTTTGCAGCCTAAATGTCTACTTTTGTTTTGCCAGAGTCGATAACAAGCTGGATGTCTGTGTTTCAGTGTGTTAGCGTTTTGTTTTAGATCTTCTGGAGCCTAAAACCTACCGAAGAATCAAAAAAAGACACGTTTTCTTTAAAGATAAAAATAAAACTACACATTTTTATCAGATTCAGAGACTGATCATCAGATATTCAGCTTTCTGATGGTCTTTGAACTACTCGTCTGTGATGTGTTCAGATCTACGTTTCATTCAAAAATTCACCAATAATTTACCGTTTTCAGGAGCTAGATTCTGTAAAGAGCAAAAAATTCTGCTGTTCTCAGGGCAACCGTGACGCCAACAAACAATCAGCTGTGATCGAGAGTCACGAGACAAAAAATTAGACTAATGTGACTAATTTAGCTCAAGTTTTGACTTTTAGAAGAGAAAAAACACAAAAACGCAGCAAATTCCAGACTTTTTATTATTAATAATGATAATAATACTTGTATAGCGCTTTTCAAGACACTCAAAGATGCTTTACAAAGTAGGTAACAGCAAAACAAACAAACAAAATAATAACAAATAAGTAAATAAGTATAAATATAAATATGATAGGAAAGAGGAGACAGACAGCTGTAGGTCCACTCTGAGCAACATTTATTGTATTCTATGAGGATTATTTTCTGTTTTCCTTCACTTTACAGTCTTTTATTTGCCACATTATCACATTTATTCACCACAGAGGAGAATTCGTTCTGATTTTAGCTGCTGAGGTGACTTGTTTGACTAACTCGGTGTATCCTGGGGTGATCCTGCATCCAGCTGTTGGGGGGAGTGCTGAGGGGAGGACGGGGGAGGGATGTGGAGGAGGACGAGGGAGGAGGAGGAAGGAGGGGAGGGATGGAGGTGTGGAGCTCGCTGCAGCTGAGCAGCCATCGCCGTGGAGCCTCCTCACCCGCCTGTAAGTACCGCTGGACCGAGCCGGAGCCTCCACGTCGGGCGGCGGCCGGAGGCAGCTCTCTGTTTGTTATGATAAAGAGGATGAGGGGGGATGGAGGGGGAGGGTCGGGGGCTTTTGTTGCATGCCGACACTCAGCAGATTGTGTTCGTCTTCCTGCTGCTGCTGCTGCTGCTGTTTGTCTGCAGCCTCTTTAAGCTGCAGCTCTGTTAAACCTCCTGCTGCAGCCGAGGCGGTGCAGGAATCCTCCTCCTGCATCCCAGCGTGGAGCCAACGCAGCTCGCTGCAGCCTCCACGTCTCTGTTGCATCATGTTGGCCGACGCTGCAGCTAGCATGAAGCATGCACACTGCTGCTGCTGCTGCTGCTGCAGCTCCGGAGGATCGGCAGCATCGGTGCTGCTGCGTGTAGTGTCGGTGGAAAACATGAACTAGCATGAAATCTGGGTGTTTTCTTGTCTTCTGAGCAGCAGGTTTCAGCGTCAGAGGTCACGGTCTCTGTGTTCTGGTGGTTTCCTGGTTTAACTCACCACAGACGAGCCTGTTGGGGCTTCTGGCAAAATACCTGCAAATAGAGGTAATTTTAAAAGTAAAAAAACCTGAAGAATTTACAGAAATATAATCTGACCCCACTGTGATACTGCAGGCTTTTAATGTCTATATTAGCTCCATAATTAATAACACTGAAAGGTCTTTATTTATTATTCGTCTGAGCTGAAATCTGTGTTATTGTGAAGACCTTTATGACTTTATTAATATTATTTATTTAATATTCTATATATTTTCTGTAATAGAGCATTTTTGTATTTTTTCAATTTTATTTTTCAATTTCTTTCAGTTTAAAGTATTATTATTATTATTATTATTATTATTATTATTATTATTATTATACGTATTTAGGTGGCAAAATTAGAAAACATAGGTTCAGAAGTTTTCAGACTGAGGCTGCAGTTCAACCGAAAACTGTCAAACGTTGCGCAGGATTTCGTTGCTTTTTACAGAATCTGGTGTCTTTTTTTTTTTTTGTAGAGTTTTTTATTTGTAATATCTGCAGACATCCTGATTTAAAGCTTACATTCAGTTATTTTATCTGATGGAACCACATGTTGCACACGATCAGTTCAAGGACTGTCGGGAAGTTGAGAATCAGATTTTATTTATTTTATTTTATTTTTAATAGTTTCTGGCTCTGATAAATGGTTTAATTCTAACTTTTCTTTTCTTGTTTTAAACGTAACGAACCTTCTGGAGTTCAGATGATTAACAAAGATGAACATTTGCCTTCATATGGCTGTAAAAGTTTCCTACATATCACATTTTATTTGTAGTTTCAGCCTTAAACGTTTAGTTTTGGTGGAGTTGTTGCTCCACACAACAGAAACAAGAAGCTACAAACTGGTCACAGTTTTCTTCCTGCCTCTGTTTAAACTCTGATTCAACCTGAGTGAGAAAACCTTCAGCGTGTCTGCCTGAGACAACACCAGAGCTTCAGTCTGGACAGAGTTTTACTGTCCTGTGTCTGCGTTCTGCTGCAGCGTCGTGCTGCTCTGAGCTGATGTAGGTCAGCGACCTGACAGCCGAGCTGGAATGCAGACGCCTCATGTAGGTCATCTGCAGCTCGGACGGAAACAACGCCGCCGCCGCCGAGTCGCGTGAGAGAAAGAACAACCTGCTGCACGTTTAATCCTCCTGGTGGAGAGCCGACAGCAGCCGTCGTGGTTCTGATCGGCTTCATCTTTTATCAACAAACTCCTGAAGAATGTAGAAACGATTTGATCTGGACACTGGAACCAGAATCAGAGATAACTGGATCTGGTTTCATTAACCTGAGACACAGAAACAGTTTAATGAGATTTAAAGCTGCGATGAGTCACTGTGGAGCCACAATCAGATGAGATCTGATGCAAAACAAAAAAAACACAAAACTGCACTGAGATGCTTTAGTCAACTTTATCCTGCAGGAACTTACATTATTAAAAGGAATTAACAAAATGAATTAAAGAATCTGTGAGAGCTGGGGCGCCGCGATAGCTCACCTGGTTGAGCTGGCGTCCCAGTACAGGCGCTAAAAGTCCTCGACGCGGTGCGGTACCGAGTTCTGGTCCGGCTCGTGACACTTTGCTGCAGGTCCTTCCCCCCATTCTTCTCCCCAGCTTTCCTGTCTCCCTTCTCCACTGTTCTATCAAAAAAAGGCCAAAAAAATAAGAGAGAGTGAGAGCCGACGTGACAAAAACTAAATCTGGTTTCATTGAACTGAGATGCTTTTTATCAATTCTGCATTCAGAGCTGATTCATACACATCTTTCTGTTTAAGCAAAGGTTCTCAGTCTCCTTGTTAATCGTCCTTCAGGAGGGGAAAATTACAGTTCTGTACATTTTCTCTATTTTTTAAACTCCGGTTTACTGAACAGATGACGGCTGTAAATCCTGCTGCAACCTGTTAATAAAGAAATAAAAACAGTAAAAGAAACATCTACTCAGGTACGGAATTTAGTCACTTTTCAGCTTAACATTTAAATCGAATATTCTCTCAAATAAAAAACACACGACAGCGGTATGTGAATTACATTTTTTAAATGAAGTTAGTCTCATACGGTGTCCTCCTGTGTCCAGTAGGTGGCGCAATGACTATGACTTACACCGAGGCTCTGATCAGACGTGAACTTTAGGGCAGATTGGATGAAGTGTTGTCAGATTTTGAGCACATTTAGTGTTTTATTTGTCCGTGTTTGGGCTCTTGGACTGATGCTGAAGTCAATAGTTCCAGATTTTATTGAGCCTAATCGCACCTCAGGTCTGGAAAACGAAGGAATTCATGAGAATCTGACGATAAAAAAACAAAGCTGCTGCAGTAACAGGATGAAACTCATTGAACGTTTACACATTTTAGCTTCACCTGTTGATTCAAGAGACCGTCGTGATGCAGGTTTTGGTCGTGGTCATCTGTACTTTCACTGATTTTCTGAATGCGAGTCAGTGAGCTGCACCAAATGCTCACTAAAGAACCAAACGTCAATTAATTCGCCGCTGAAAACAGTCCCCAACAAGTTTTTAATTCTGGGTTTACTGAGCTGTAAATTGAGCATGTTTAGAGCTTTGTGTGTGCTGAAGGAGTTTTGGGGTTTTGCGTTTGTTGACAATCAGAACGACACAACAACACAAATAACGTGTTTTAATTATCGTTGACCTTCTTTGTGTCTTCGCGCCTGCAGGGTGAGGAAGCTGAAGGAGACGCTGGTGACGGTTCAGCAGCTCGACAAGAACATGAGCAACCTGCGGACCTGGCTGTCTCGCATCGAGGCCGAGCTCGCCAAACCGCTGGTCTACGACGTCTGCCACAGCGATGAGATCCAGAGGAAGCTGGCCGAGCAGCAGGTGGGCGGAAAGTCAACAGCTTCTGAAGGTTCCTACAGAGTCCGGCTTTCTTCAGTTTTAGGAAACTGGACTTTTTGTTGACAGAATTTCGAGTTTTGGCAGATTTGCTCCAAACATGTTTGTCATAAAACTGAGTTTAAGCTTTCTTAAGTCTGACCTAAAGTTCGAATTAGTTTAAATTTAGTGATAAAGACTGAAAGTGACGTCCGCTAACGAGATCAGGGCGTTTTATCATCACTATTGTTTAGTTTAACCTTTGTTCTGACATGTGAGGACTAAATCCTCTCCAGGAAAAGTTTCCATATTTGCAGACTTCAACTTCCTTTTTTGCTCAAATCGAGCTTTGCAAAATGTAGTCCAGCGTTAACGTGTATTTACAGAATACGTAGATGACCTCCTACTATACGTATAAAAGCTGATTTAAAACAACGAAACGTCCACGTTGTGCACACGTGAGCGCATCAGCTTTAAAGGAAACATCAACGGGTGCTGATTTGAGGATGAATTTATCCAGTTTTAGTGGGAGTTTTTTTTTGCAGATTGCATCAAATTCAGTGTTTGTTTCACTATAAGACAGAGATTAAAGTCTTCTGTTTGCATCTTCAGTAGAAAAGATCAGAAAAAAAAGGCCCAAAAAAGATGAATTCTGCTGATTTTTTATATAAAGAACGGTTTGATTTGGTGTTTTAGTGCAGAACAGCGACCGGTTTAAATCAGTTCACTCCCACATTCTGATTCAGAGACGAATTAATTCAGAAAATATGGTGCCATAACGATAACAAAGATCATCTGTTGTTTGGTCTTTAAATCGCTTTTTAAAAGAGAAAACGAATAAAACAGAAGACCTTTGAGTGTTTCTGGGCAGCAGAACAACAAAATCCGTGAAGCAAAAAAACTTTAAAACCTACAAAAACGCAGCACTTTGCCACCGAGCTTCAAAATAAAAAGCTGTTTCACCGTTTCACAAAGCCGACCGGCACCTCGGAGCCTTTATGTTCTGGCCGAAGCTGGACGACGGCGACGAGAGCAGCAAAGTGAAATCCCAGCGAGGTGTTTGTGGAGGAGGACGGAGGCCCGCTGGGTTCACACAAGCTAAATGCGCCGAGGAGCAGAACTCGCAAGGAGGTCTGGAGGGTTTCTGGCCCGCCGTCCATTTGCGCTCGGCTGCAGCTCCACTTTAGTTCCCGGCCTGAAGGGAAGCGTTGGGAGGCGACGAGGACACAGCGGGACGTTCTCTGCTCAGCTTTTTAGCAGAAATCCTGAATCCAGAAGCTGCTGCAGCTGTCGTCGACTTGAAACTTCAGTCATTTAACTTTAGAAAGAAAATGTGGAAAAACTACATATTGTGTTTAATTTAAACTGAAAAGTAAATTAACCAAACTGTCCCAATAATTCAAGTTTTCTCCTTTTAAACGTCCCTTAAAAACTTGAAAACTTGTGTTTATTCCACAAAATTTCAGGTAATTAAAAATACCACCAACATTATTATGAAAATTAAATTATTTTTAGAAATTTTTCTAATGTGCTTCTGAACAGAAGAAGGAGTTTTTAACACGGTATTTCTAGACGATAAATTATTTAAAATTTTTGTTTCATTATTTATTTATGTTGGGCATAAACCAGTTTTCTCTTTGTGTGAAAAAAAAAACGCTTTAATTAATAAAAACAGCAAAAGTTTCTGCTGTGGCTCAATGAAAAGGTTAGTTCTTAAATAAAAACAACAATAAAAAATGTTTTTCATGATTATATTATTATTGTTATTATTATTATTATTGTTATTATTATTAATATGCTTTTAAATCATATTATTATAAGATAAATCATATATTATCAAAACATAATAAGAATAAAATACAATGACAATAATAATAATACATATTTATTTAAACATTTAAATTAAATTCATAAATAGAAAAAATATTAGTTTACCTTTATGGTAAAAAAAAAACAAAATACTATATTAAATATAAACATTTCTTTCTCTGTTAAGAAGCACTTGGTAAATATTTATTAAATACTTTAATTTTCATCGTGGGGAAAATAATTTTGTCCTCGACTGCAGTTTTTTGGTTGAACATATTTTAATTTAGAGCTGTTATTAAAAAAGTAAATTAAAAAAAATTAAATTACTGATTCAAAAATTGTTTTATTGGATTTTAAAGCAAATGCTGCCTATTAATATAAAAATTCTCACGTTTTAAATGATTTCCTAAACTTTTTAATAATAAATCAATCGTGTCAGTAATTTATTTATAAATAAAAAAAACTCTCCTGCAGATTTTTGCTGCTTTTTCCCCCATCGGCTTCATTTTTCAGCTCTCGAGGCTTTTATTTGAACAAACTCCATCTTAATTTTTTTTTCTTTTTTGGCAAAACAACAACGACGAGCTGCGCACGAAACATGTCTGAGTTTTTCTTCGTCTTCGTGGTCGTTCAGGACTTTATGTCGCAGAGAAAAATGAGCCCACAGTGAGTAAAAAATGGTCTAAATGGTGTCAGAACGCTGATCTCCAGCCTCAGATGAAGCTAATTTACACGTTATCGGCCACGTTTTAGTCGTACTTGGACCAAATTTAATGTTTTTCCTTCGGTAAAACTTGACGACACCATTTTTTTCTTTGCTCTGAATCTTACAAATCTTGGAAATGGTGGCAGAAAAAAAAACCCACTACACTTGTAAAACCAAATTGGACTGTCTGGATTTGGACGTGAAGATGAAGGAGCAAATAGAGGCGGATGGCAGACAGAAAAGAGGGAAATTGTCGCCGTGGAGAGTTTCGGTCGGCTGAGAGAGTCGGGACTTCTCCTGTTGCCTCCATTAGCGGCGAAATGACTCCCGGCTGGATGGGCTCTTTAGGCTTTCGCCGGTCGCCATGGCAACCAGCAGAGGGGCGACTCCGAGTGAGGCGAAAAAAAGGGAGCACAAAAAAAAATGGTGAAAAACAGAGTCGATTATTGAGACGTTTCGTTATGATTTTAGAAACGGCAGCTCAGAGTTTTTCTTGCTTCCAAAATAAAAGCTCCTCAAACGGACGATTCTGCACAAAATGAAATAAAACAACGTAATTAAGGAGGAGATATCACAGGAGGAGCTCCTAAACTAGATTTAATCCTTAACTTCACTGGTTTCTAAGCTCATCCTGTAGCTGCGACTTTGATTCTCTGCAGCTCGAACTGAAACACATCAAAAAGCATCAAAGGCACTTTAAAAATAAATACTGTTTCTGCAAGAATTCTGACTTTTTGTGTGATTTTAGCACTTATTTTGTTTGGAAACACGCTTGAACCTTGTCTAGAAGTAGTCTGTAGACTTTAAATGGTGATATTTCATCAAAATCACTTCGTCCTTCATTTTTTCTTTAAAAATTTCACCAAAAATTCTTGGCAGGTCGAACTACATCAAATCAAAAACCATCAAAGGTACATTAAATATATTGTTCATATTGGGTTTTTTGCATGAATTCTGACTTCTTGTGTAATTTTAGCAATTTTCTTGTCCAAAATAACTCAAAACTAGTCCGAAATAAATGAAAATGTGTTAAAAATGACACCAAATGAGTCTAAAATGAGCTGAAATTTATCCACAATGACTCAGAACATATCCAAAATATTTGAAAGTTGTTCAGTGACTCAAAATTTGTACAAAATAACAAAAACTTGTCCTAAATGTTTTAAAAATTCATCCAAAATGACTCAAAAACTAGCTTGAAGTGTGAACATGAGTCTTAATGAACCCAAACCTGCCCAAAATGACTTGAAAATAAGTCTGAAATGACTTAAACCGAGTCAAAAAAGACTCAAAACTTGTCCATGATGGCCAAAAAATGACAAGAACTATAAAACAAAATTATTTTAAAATTTGTCCAATTAAACTCAGAATTAGCCCAGATTGACTTGAAATCCAAAAATGTCTGAACCACGAGAAAAAAGTTAAAAAATATTCTGCTGTTGGCTGCGAGAGTGAACACAAGAGTCTTCATGCACTGCCAGCATCTGAGGATGTTGTGCAGCTAATGTGGCTAACATTAGCAGCAGGTCAGAGCGCTTTGGAAACTTTAATTTAAGCCAGTAAACAAGGACTGGGTGGTTACCGTGTTTTCTTGTTGCTTGTTTTGCTTAACTTCAACCTGACATTAGCTTCTGTTAGCTTCTGTTAGCTTCTCTCTGGCTCCCTGTGCTCACAGATACATGGGAGGAGCTACATTTTCTCCAATGTGGTTAAAACCAGTCGACCTGTAGGTGAGGTTTTATCGTCTCTGTTTCAGGACCTGCAGCGAGACATCGAGCAGCACACGGAAAGCGTAGCGTCGGTGCTGACGCTGTGCGACGTCCTGCTCCACGATGCCGACGCCTGCGGCAGCGACTCGGAGAACGACTCGATCCAGCAGACAACCAGGAGCCTGGACCGCCGCTGGAGGAACATCTGCGCCATGTCGATGGAGAGGAGGATGAGGTGAGCGCCGGGCGTCAGAGCTCGAAACACGTAGTCAAGATAGAAACAGTTGGGAGGAGCTCAGCTTTCTCTGTTGACGTTAAATCAGCACCGAAATTCTTTGTCAGGATCGAGGAAACGTGGCGTCTCTGGTGTAAGTTCCTGGACGACTACTCTCGCTTCGAGGACTGGCTGAAGTCGGCCGAACTCACCGCCGCCAACCCCGACTCGGCCGACGTCCTCTACACCTCCGCCAAGGAGGAGCTCAAGAAGTTTGAGGTCAGGAAATCAGTTTAAACGTCCTGCTGCTTTCTTTCAGGCAGCGGTTACAAGATCCCGACAACTGTGGCTTAAAATGTAAAGTGTGCTCTGATCTACATGCTGCAAAAAAAGGTCTTAAGTAGGTTAAAATCCAAAGAGCAGACGTCTGAGCTCTCTGAAGTTGCCGTTTCAGTCTGAAGAGGAAAACTTAGTGTCCAAACTTTCAGCAGGTTCATCATCTGTGGAGCATAAATGCAGGTTTTAAGTCAAACTAGTCATTCAATGTACTTGCAGCAGAGATAAATGTCCATTTACGGAGCAGTTTGCCTTAAAAAATACCATTATGTGGCAAAAAATTACAAAAATTGCAACCAATTTACAAAGCTTGGTATGCAAGTACACATTTCAACTTTAACATTTCCTCTAGCTGAATAATCAAAGTGTAGTTCATTCCAAGACAGTCTACGGTGCTGATGGTTTCTGGTGTTTCCGTATATTTGGTTTGTCTAATATCCTTGTTTAGGCCGTTTATATTTGGAAACTATGACCGCAAGTGTAGTAAAATATAACATAATTCCTGCAAGAATATTCTCTGTTTTTAAACTATGAGCTACAAAAACCTCATCCCTATTCACAGACCTGTTGGATACATTTTTAGATTCTTCTTTACCAAAGTCTTCCTGCACATGTTAGAGTTGTAGGTTAGAGGCAGAAGTGAACGTTAGCTTAGCTTCCTCAAGTTTAGCATCTACTTCCACGTCTTCAGCCTACAACTCCAACGTGGAAGTAGATGCTAAACTTGAGGAAGCTAAGCTAACGTTGGTTTTAGCTGCCTCTGACATTCCTGGCTGCCGCGTCCAAACAGTTTTTGAATATCCGTGCAATAAAATCTGGGCAATAAGCTAAATTTCATGTCATTTAGCCTGATGTTGGAGTTCAAACTCACCACTCACAGCTGAATTAGGACACATTTATTATTCACATTTGAGCTGAGGATGCTGTACATGCTTTTGCAACCCCTTAGAACTGGTTCTGACTATGAGGAGCATGAATATCTGCAGTTGTTGAAAAGTGCCCTAAAGATCAATATCAACATGTGGAACTGACAGTGGAATCACGGTTTAGTTTCTTCTTTTTGCTTCATGGTCATCTTTTGATTGGATCTGCTCCAAACACTGGCAGGGTTTACCGTGTCCGAGTGCTGTTTCAGGTCCAGGTTCAGGTGTGTTGTTGTGCTGAAACACACCGAGGTAACCTTTGATGTGTCACCGTGGATTAGAAACACAGATTAGTGTTTGCTAATCTGGACTCTGCCTTCGTCCACACAGCAACAGGGATCCAGAGTAAATACCAGTGACCTACATGTGCTCCGGCTGTAATGGGAGCTGTGGGAGAGTAATCATCGGAAACCAGCAGAGTTCAGGTTCATAAAGAGACTGGAAAAGGCCATTAATCCTCTCTGAGAAGTGGAGGTTTGATGTGTGTTGAGGGCAGATCCATTATGTCGGACTGGTTGTTAAAGACAACATACGACCAGCATGTTGATCACAAAAAGACAAAGAACAACCGTAAACAGACAAACATAACAATATTAAACAATCGCAAAATTAAATTAAAGAGACAAAAAAGATGCAGAATGACTCTAAAAAGACAAACAAAGGGAGAGTAAGAAGACCTCAAATAACCAAGGTATGATATTAACGACACAAAAAGACATTAGGGAGATACAAAACAACATTAGAGACACAAAAAAACAACCACAAAGAGACAGAAAACAACAGTAAAATGATTTAAAATGCTGTACAAAATGACCACAAATAACCACAATACGATATTAAAGACACAAAATGATATTAAAGAGACACAAAACAGCCACAGAGACCACAAACTAACATGAAAAAGATGCAAAATGACCAAAAAGAGACACAAAATGACCACAAAAAACACAAAAAGGACACAACTTGACCACAAAAAGACAGAGAATAATCTCAAACAGATAACAAATGGCTGTAAAGTCGGTAAAATATGTAGAATGTATGTACAACATACTGTATTCTATCAAAACAGCTCCCATCTATCACTAGTATGTATGAGGGACCCCAATTAGTTTCCCATTAAACCGCTTTAAACGTCCTTCTTAAAACCACAAACACATTTTTTTATACAAGTTTTTACCTCTTTTCCTGCATTGTGTCGACTGTTACGTTCATCTCTCCTAAATCATTCTGAGGGACTCTTACATTAATTCGTCTTCTCAGGCGTTCCAGCGGCAGGTTCATGAGCGTCTGACTCAGCTGGAGCTGGTCAACAAACAGTACCGCCGTCTGGCCCGGGAGAACCGGACCGACGCTGCCAGCAAGCTCAAAGTCATGGTACACGAGGGGAACCAGCGGTGGGACGGTCTGCAGAGGAGGGTGGCGGCGGTTCTCCGCAGACTCAAGGTGAGAACGAAGGTTTAACAGTGTCTATTAGAGGTATGCAAACCTTTCCCCCTTTTATTACCTTTCAAGTGAGGCCACCAAGACACCTATGACTCCTCTGAGTGGCTGAGATTGGAGACTGTTCTTATACTGGTCAAAGCTTTTTGGGACAGTGACAAAGACACTGTTGGAAAAGCTCAGATTAAATCTGGACTAAAGTTCAGCAGAAGACATGTGGAGACTCTGAAGTCACCTGGAAGAAGGTTCTTTGGTCTGATGAGACCAAAATAGAGCTTTGTTGTCATCAGATTAGATACTAAAAGCTGCACATCATCACAAACACACTGTCCCCGCCGTGAAGCACAGTGGTGGCAGCATCATGACATGAAGCACGGTGGTGGCAGCATCATGACACTAAATATGACTTTAAGAGGGTGAATGCTTCTGCACTTGTTTTACATTTTTGAGGTAAATTCTTATCAAAAAAGCCAAATTTATCGACAATAATTCAGTGTTTAAAAGCAGTAAACGGGGAGAACTTCCAGAGGTGGTGAACACTTTGTGTCGAACGTTCGAGACGTTAATAAAGCTGCGTTAGGAAATGACTGATGTTCTTTTATACGATAGAGACAGAAATCAGAAATCGAACGTATCTTTCAGCTGTTCATCATCTCGCCGCTCTGAGCTTCACTTTAAGCCGTCAGGATTTAGGTCACCTCTCAGACGGTGACGAAGCATCACGTTGGCAGGACGAGGCTTTTATTGTGACATGTGGCGCCGAGCAGACGGAGGACGTTGCTCCATGGAGATGGAATCAAAGAACTGCTGGTTGATCAGTTAAACTCACATGGTGGATAAATGCTGAATGTAAAACAGAAATTTACAGATGAGGAATGTAGGTGTAGGAAAAGAACAACTTTTTATCATATTCAACTGTTTTCACAGAGTTACAGACAAAATGTAGTGAAATTAATAAACTAATGTTCACACAGGAAAAAAAACGTAAATATTATCCGCATTAAAAAAAAAATCTGTATTTTTACGAACAGTAATTTGTGCTTTCACAACATTTGATTACAACAATAAACGAAATAAACTTTATTTATGGAGCACTTTTAAAAACAAATGTTTCAAAGTGCTTTCTGATAAAAATACATTAAATGTTGAAATAAAATAAGCACAGAGAATAATTGATGAGCACACAAACAGAGCATGAACATGAACAGAAACTTAAATAAAATCAGGAACAGCTCTCCGTTAAAAACGTATTTTATAAAAATATCAACATTAAATGAAAAAAAAGAAATTAGGGACTGAAAAATGATATATATATATATATTTTTCACAGTTGCTTTATAGATTTTTCCCTTTTTTGGCAGATTACAGAGTATTTATTAAAATCACACATTTTTAGTATATTTTTAAAAAATAATAATTTGCAAGGAAAATGTTAATAAAGAGGCCAAAACTGTACAAAATTTCCACATCAAGATTTTTTTTTTATTACCATAAATTAATACTGTTCTTAAATCATCTTATTACAGATTATTCTAGTTTTTCAGTTTTTAAGCGATCCAGAGTTTTTAAACATATTGTGTCTGTTTCTTTATTTTATTTTTTTACAGTGTATAAATTAAATTAAGGAAAAGCTGATGGAAACGGATCTTTGTCCCTCATTCGGTTCAGTCTCGTCATTTATGAGTATCAGTTGTTTTTCTCCGTCCTCTCTGCTCAACTGAAAACCCTCGACTCTCTCGTTTCTTTCATATCTTTTATTCCACACAGTTCCTTTTGTAACAAAATGACACCAGTTGTATTCTAGCACACTGACGTGATTCTCTCCGTCCTCTCCAGCACTTCACGTCTCAGAGAGAAGACTTCGAGGGAACCCGTGAGGGCATCCTGGTCTGGCTGACGGAGATGGACCTCCAGCTCACCAACGTGGAGCATTTCTCCGAGAGCGACGTCGAGGACAAGATGCGGCAGCTCAACGTGAGTCTGACGGTTTTCAACCTTCTTTAATGAGTTTAAAGCTTCCCGTCTGCTAACATCCTGCCGGTTTCTCCTCCGTCCTGCAGGGCTTCCAGCAGGAGATCACCCTCAACACCAACAAGATCGACGCCCTGATCGTGTTCGGGGAGAACCTGATCCAGAAGAGCTCTCCTCTGGACGCCGTTCTAATCGAGGACGAGCTGGAGGAGCTGCACTCGTACTGCCAGGAGGTGTTTGGACGCGTGGCCCGCTTCCACCACCGGCTGGTCAACCGGCGCCCGGTCAGTAGAGCCGCTGGAGGTCCACACGGTTTAGCTAAAGCTGCAGGTTCCACACGTCTTCTGGGATACAGAGAATTAACAAGTTTAGTTAATCAAATCGTGCAGAGAAGAAGCCGTATGGACGAGAAGGACGGAAGTAATTTATTGCTTTGTCATTTTCTTTACTGTCGGGAAAAATATAAAAACAAAACTATAAAATAAAAATAATTGTACAGAAAAATAAGCACTAAATTAATCTGATTAGTCTTCATATTTAATAATACTGTAAGTTCTAGACCTTAATATGTGTTTTACTCAAGTATCGTAGTATTTTATAACATGTTTGTGGGTTTTAATCGCTTATATGTACATTCATCTGGTACAATTTAGTGTCTCCATCGTAAATTTAACATAAGTTTAAAATATACGAATCCTTTCTTCCTCAGACATTTCGTTCTTGTTGCTCAGTTCCTTCATCTTCTCCCGGCAGGTTCTGGAGGAGGAGCGGGAGATGTCGGACCGGGACACCGACCTGGACGACTCTCCCGACCCGACCGGCGGTTCGTCCTGGACGGAGACGACAAAGAGGAAGGAGGAAGAAGACGGGGCTCCGGCAGGGGGCGGCGCCTCGGCCGGGCGGCAGGTCATGTGCCACCTGCTGGCTCCGCCCCTGGAGCGGTCGGGCCGAGAGACACCGGTCAGCGTGGACTCCATCCCCTTGGAGTGGGACCACACCGTGGACGTGGGCGGGTCGTCTTCACACGAGGACGACGAGGACGCCACCTTCTTCAACACTCTGACAGGTAGACAGACGTTAACTTCTACTGTTTATCACTAGATGTACAGCTGAAACCAGAAGTTTACATCCACTGTATAAAAAGACATAAAACCTTTTCTTTCTCACTGTCTGACATTAAATCAGACTAAAGGTTTCCTGTTTCAGGTCAGTCAGGATCACCAACATTATTTCTGTTTGCTAAACACCAGAATAATGAGAGAGAGAGAATTTCTCATGACTTTCTTCAGAGTCAGAAGTTTCCATCCATCTCCTCAGTATCTGGTAACGTTGCCTTTGAACTCTATGACTTGGGTCAAACGTTCTGGGTTTCCTTCCACAATCTTCTCACAACAGTCTGATGGGTTCTGGCCCATTCCTCCTGACAGAACTGGTGGAACTGAGTCAGGTTTGTTGGTCTCTTTGCTCCACTGATGTTCTCCAGGACTGAGATCAGGGCTTTGTGATGGCCACTCCACAACACTGACTCTGTTGTCCTGAAGCCTCTCTGTAGCTAATCTGGCGCTATGCTGAGGGTCATTGTCCATCTGAAGACCCATTAGTGTCCAAGCTTTAACTTCCTGCTGATGTCTGGAGATGCTGCTTCAACATTTCCACATCATGTTCTTTCCTCATGATGCCATCTATTGTGTGAAGGTCACCAGTCCCTCCACAGCATGATGCTGCCACCCCCGTGCTTCACATCTGGGATGGTGTTCTCAGGCTTCAAGCTTCCTCCTTTTTCCTCCAGATGTACCGATGGTCATTAAGGCCAAACAGTTCAGGCTTAGCTCCATCAGACCACAGGACATGTCTCCACTAATCTTTGTCCCTGTGTGCATCTACAAAGTGTACTCTATAATCTCACAGCACATATCAGGTTCTACTGAGTTATTCCATCTGAACTCATCAAGTTTCCTCTGACCATCTTTAACTTGTTTCAGGTTTTTATAGCATAAAATCTGAATATTTATAAAGATATTTGTGCAATTTTCCTCTTTTTCATTTTTGTGACCTGGTATTTCTTATAATAAAGTATTCTAGATGCTTAGTTTTTTATTATTCTGACATGAAGCTACATGTGGTTCAAAAAATGTCACTCATCGACTTTACATTTTTTTATAAACATGAGCTCAAAGTTGGGACTTTCCATGATGGCTTCTGGTTTTTTATTTTTTCATATTTCAACTCACCAGTAGGCAGAGATTATTTGAACTACTTGTCTGCAGTTACAGACTGTGAATCAATGACATGAAGAGAAACAACAGTTCAAATGTCTGTTTTTTATGTTTAATAGTTGCCGAGATGTAGTTGTTGAAACAGCCTCAAATTTCAAAGTGCGGAAATAAAACAAAAAAACGTAATAAAAGTGAGTCGATGGAAAATGTAATACTTTTTTTTTTTTTTTTTTGAAGCAAAAACTTTACAAATATCCTTACATACATATTTTATGCTATTTATGTTTGGGCAAGTCAGAGAAATTGTTTTAAAAGTTTCATGATTTAAGACGGACCCAAAACAAAACTTGCTAAAAGTGGGTAGGTGGACAATTTATTAAAAATTTTTGTCTCGGAAAGTATATGGAGCTAAAATTCCGTACAATTCTACATATTTTTTGCTCATAATGTTTCAGGTAAATCAGAGACTTTTGTAATTGCATCTTTTTTAATTACAAACACGTCAACACGTTTCTTTCTTCCCAAACCTCCCTCCATCCTCCGCAGAGCCGCCGGCCGTTAACCTCCTTCTTTCTTCCAGATGTGAAGGTGACAGAGAGCTCAGAGTGTTTCGTTAAAGCCACCGTCAGGGCAGCGAGAGCCGCCTCCGGTACGCAAACTGCCTCCTGCATGCGTCCGCTGCATCGCTGCGTGGTTGTTTGCCAGCATTCCGTCTCCTAGCAACCACAAAAACCCATCCATCTCTCCATCCCACCCGATCCTGCATCTGTTTTATCTTTCTGACGTGGCTTTGCACCGCCGCAGAATTGACACTTGCATGGTGCTTGTGATGGACTTGAGTTGTTCTTTAGTTGCATTCGTGGTTTGTTTTTTGCATGTTGTTGATACTTTATCGTGTGCATGAGTCAAAAGACAGTTCAGCTTCTGTCTTTTCGTTGCTGCTCAGTTATTTTTCTGTATTTCTTATGTCTTTTTCATGCTCATGTTCCATCTTCTGTCTCCTCAGTGAAATCGGTGACCGACCCGCCCAACTGGCACCAGCCGGGTTCTCCGGAGAGGAAACGGGTTCCCAGAGAAAGTATCCGAGGCCTTAGTTCATCCCCGACGCACAGCGCCACTCCCTTCAACCAGCAGGGCTACGTAAGAGCACAGAAAACACACGGGAGCTCTGGTTTAAGGGTTGAAATGTGGTTTTTCAGGGCTGATATTGATGCCAGTTATTGGTAATTAAGGAAGGATACTTACACATATCTGCAATAAAAATGAAAAATCTTGTCAGAAATTAAGAAACTCCCACCAAATCATGCGTTTATTTATGTTTTACATATTTAATTAAAGGAAAAGTTGATTTGCAGCATCAGAGCAAAACAAGCTACGCTTTTTTACATGAGTTTATTTCATCAGACATCTGTAGAAGCAGCTGAGAGAGAGCTGAGATGTGAAGCAGCTTTGGATAAACAGAAAACGTGTCTGTTCTCAGGTGAAGCTGATGTCGGAGTGCAGCGGCAGCATCGACAGCGTCAAGAGAGTCAAGCTGATCTTAAACGACGAAGAGGAGTTGGAGGACGGAGGTCTGACCAGCAGCACGGCCAATAAACAGACCAGCACAGGTACCGACATGAACACCGAGGGTGCGTCTTGAATTATACTGCAGCATAGAGTCCTGACTTGACTTGGTGCGCTATCGTACTTCCTCAGGTGTGATCGAGCGCTGGGAGCTGCTGCAAGCCCAGAAGTTCTCCAACAAGCCGGACGTGAGGCAGGACCTGGAGCAGTGGCAGAAGCTCAACTCGGACCTCTGTGATGTCACTTCCTGGCTGGGCCGAGTGCTGCCCGAGCTGGAGAGGCTGCAGAGGATCGCTCCGTCCACCAGCGTCCGGGACTTCGAGGTCAACATCAGGAAGCTCAAGGTGAGAGGCTCCGTTTGTACGATTACTTACACTATAGTATGATGTTTTCACGCTGTTGTTGACAACATACGATACTGTGGCGTCTTTACGCCATTCTTTATGACATACAATACTATGACTTTTTTACGCCATTTTTGACGACATACTAAACTATGGCGTTTTTACTCCGTTTTTGACGACATACTAAACTATGACGTTTTCTCGTCATTTTTGACGACATACTAAACTATGGCGTTTTTACTCCGTTTTTGACGACATACTAAACTATGACGTTTTTATGTAGTTTTTGATGACATACTAAACGATGACGTTTTTGCATCGTTTTTGACGACATACAAAAATATGACGTTTTTGCGTAGTTTTTGATGACATACTAAA